TTTTCAAATGCAAGCTCATATATATTTCTTGCAGTTGAGTTCCACCAAACACAGCATGATTTATTTTTGAGTAAACATGCATAGGATCGCACTATAAGTTGACTGGCCTGAACCAATTGTGAAAAGGACATCGTTTGAATGTCTGGATTCAAAGGGATGCCAGAAACCTCTCTGATTGGGGTAAAACACTGCTTTATTTGCAAACAGCAAATAAGGCCAAGTGGCAATGAAGATAGATAGCAATGGGAGTTCATATGGTTCATCTAGGGGTTCGTACTGAGCTAGTTCAAGAGGCTGCTGGATCATGTTGGCAAAGGATTCACATTCCACAGAGTGCTCAGTTTCTATTTGCTCCAGGTGGCAAGTGTTCTGCCACTCATAAGACATTCCTTGGCATCCACTGATGATGTTTGTTCACTTTCTCTGGGAAAGTTAAGCAGCATCATACTTGGCAATGTGTATTTGAGATAGTGGAACACTTGCATCATTATATTCGAACTATTCACAATTACCAACAATGATGGGAAGGCATATGAGAATATTGCTCTAAAGCTGGACTCCAGCCAAGAGGATAGGAATTTTTCAATGCTGTTGTTTCTCACTCTTGCATGTGCATACTTTTTTTTCTTTTCTAATTTGCTGATATTGTAAATAGATTTTAGGTGAGGGTTAAGGCAATTATGGCTCCCCTAAGTATCAATGTTCTCCTACATAGTTTGTATTATGAAAGGGCTCCATGACTGGCCATTTACCTAAAAAAAATGTATCACCTCAAAAGAGGACTTATGTTTGAATAAACAGATCTTGCCGTAATATATGGCTAGAGAGTTGAAATTGGAAATAACTGAGATAAATTAAATAGCAAGTTAATACTTTTTCACATATTAAAACAAAATGCCATTGTACCTCTGCAAACATTTTCTATGCAATTACTGTTGATGGACAACTTGAAACCAATGAATGAAAACATGGCCAGGACATTGTCAAGGAAAGGTTTACACAGGATGCACAAATCCATTCTGTTCTTTCCTCACCCTTCTTTAATGCCATGTCTTCCATCTAGGAAAGTAAATAGGAAAAAGAAGGTAAAATAGCCAGAATGTCAAAGGTATGGTGTGCAAAGCTTTTAAGCTAGTTCACAAACAACGGCAAAGCTACCCTTTGAAAATAACTCACACAGTACTACTAGTAGAGACCTACCAGGATCGTATTAACAAGCAAAATGCTTTGAAAGGACAGGGCAAAACTTCTTAAATAAATGTGCATAAGATTTAATCATGTGCTGAGGAATAAATGTGCATGAAATGCATGGAAATTAAAATGATTTAGTCAGTTCTAACAGTAGAAAGTTCTTGAGGATTTAGTTTCTTTTCAGTGCACAAGTCCCTTTGCTTTCTATACTTGTTTCCTTGAGAAAAAGTAAAAGGCCATTATATTAAGAACTAAAGGAGCTGCAAAGAAGGGGGGGGGAAACCCTCCCAAAGGTTTCAAAGAAGATGCCATGGTTTTAGCCTTCTGTTTGTGTGTTCGCAATAGGTGTATTTAAATGTAAATGCTACCCTTTCACCCGCCAAGCCACCTATTCTTAGTGTAGAAAAAAGAGAGCATTCATGGTATAATGTCTTTATGAGATCTCATACTTCAATTCTCATGTGAACCAGAACACTTTAGAGTGAATTTTTGCATACATAAAATATTTTTTATAAATGACATTGGTCCATTTAGTCCACTTAAGATGATCTAGTTTTGGAGAGTTAATTCCTAAAATATTGTCAGAGATGTTTAGAAATGATGCTTCAGAAAGTTCTGAATTTTTGAGATTCAGTTTAACTGTCCAGATTGTGTGAAATATAAATAAGCTGGCAGTGGGTATGCAAATGCCTGATTTCTCAGGAAAACTATTTGGGGGGGGGGGGGGAGAAAGAATATATTTCCTATGAGAGGCAGGTCAGCAAATAAGACCCCACTTTTTGGTATTTAAATAAACTAGACATCTGTATACACTACTACTGCAAAGGTTTATAGGATTTTCTTTCTTTAGGATTATATTATATATTACAGTACTTTATTTCCTTCAACTTGTCTGATCCACTTTCCACTTTTAGTTGATAGGATATATTTATTAAAATCTACTGCATTGTGGGATTGCCTGCCTATCCATTTTTGTCCTTGGTCTTACCCTTGCCGAATACTTTTCAATTTTCTGTTAATCAACATGTCTCAAAATCCTCCTCCTCCTTTCCCCATGCAAGTAATTTTAGGCACATTGCTTCATTTCTTAAGCAATGGCCATGTACGGCCATGGCTGAGAAGAGTTTTCTAAATTACCAATGAATCAGGAAATCCACTCAAAGCAGAGCACAGCCCCTTGCCTCTACTGTCCCTTTGTGAGCCATCAATAAATCCTGCAACTTAATAAATACAGGGACATAACTCGACTTCCAAAATATTGTCTAGATTCAAAGATGGAAGATTAAGATTGACAGTATCCTGGCAAAATAAAACTCAAGCCTGTCTGATGAAGGCCTATCGCTACCTTTCAACAACAAATAGATATTTTGGTGTGCCTACGACAATCTGCACACAATCCCTAAACATTGGTGGTGTGTGTGTGCTCAAGTTTTGAAATATGCATTTATTCAATCAATCAATCAATCAATCAGAATAGAGCTGGAAGGGACCTTGGAGGTCTTCTAGTCCAACACTCCTGCTTAAGCAGGAGACCCTATACTATTTCAGACAAGTGACTATTCAGTTTATTCTTAAAAATGTCCAGTGATGAAGCACCTAGAACTTCTGGAGGCAAGCTGTTCCACTGGTTAATTGTCCTCGCTGTTAGGAAGTTTCTCCTTATTGCCAGGTTGCTTCTCTCCTTCATTAGTTTCCATCCATTGTTTCTTGTCCTGCTCTCTCTGGTGCTTTGGAAACTAAGTTGACCCCCTCTTCTTTGCAGCAGCCCTTCAGATACCAGAATACTGCTATCATGTCACCCCTAGTCTTTCTTTTCTCTAGACCTGCCATACCCAATTCTTGCAACTGTTCTTCATGTTTTTGTCTCTAGGCCCTTAATCGTCTTAGTTGCTCTTCTTTGCACTTTTTCCAAAGTCTTTTTTGTAATATGATGACCAAAACTGGATACAGTATTCCAGGTGTGGTGTTATTAAGGTTTTATAAAGCGGTGCTAATACTTCACATGATTTTGATTCTATATCTCTGTACAAGTTTGCAAAACAAATTCTGTTGCTTCTATAAAAGGGAAGTCAGAATCTGCACTGTGATGTTTTGTCATTTTGGCATCATTGTGGTTAGCAATGAGTACTGATGACACTAACTTACTAACTAACTCTAAAACACTAATGTTTTACAGGATCTAAATATACTGGAAAAATAATGCCTTTCCAAACAGGCAGTAATACAGTTTCTATAAAGGTATCCAAGGCTCTTTTCTCCAAAGGAAACTGAACTTTTTAATAGTTGACCAGGAAACTCTCCTGCATGAATTCCTTGGGGAGGGGGGAAATGATGAGACTTTTTGAAAAACTCACTTTTTTACATTTCTCTAATGGGACATGTCCCGGATATTATCTTGGTTGCAATGTCTGGTCCAAAATATCTCAAGCTCAATATGGAAGCTAATTTGTATTTTATGTGACAGAAAAGAAAAGAAAAGAAAACAAAAGAAAAGAAAAGAAAAGAAAGAAAAGGCTTCTTTAAGAGCAACCACATTACAATAGGTCATGCTCTTTCAAACTGTCTTTTCATTTGTTTTAGCAATGTGTTACAGCTGGCATACTATTCAAGACAGGGAACAATGCCAAAGTATTTATAATGTACTTTTAACCACCTAACTCTTTTTTTAAAAGACTGAAAAAAGGAGTACTAATTTTTAAATGGATTGTTTAAGATGAAGTAAATTCTCTTATAAATTAATTCTAAAAATTAACTTTACAATATCAGTTGTACTTGAGATGGTCAAGGCTTTAAATTAAAGTGCTTAATCAATTGTTAAAAGATCCAATATGTTTTTTTTATTGGAAAGAAATAGATAATGAAAAATCCATTAGTTTCTGATTGAGGAAAACAGGAATCTTTCTGTGCAAGCTGGCTTCTATATTGATTTTGCCTCATTTTGCAAACACATCATTAAATCCTAAAACTGCATCTAAATTGCCCACTGTATGCCTCCTCAAAGACAAAACAAATAGATTTGAATGATTCTAAATAATTTGTTGGAAGCAAAAGACTAAAAACTAAGCTGTTTTGTTTCACAAAAATAAGGTGTTATAAGCATTTGTTCCACCCTATTAAAATAATTAATTAAAATGGAAAATAAGCCCACTCACTGCAGTAGAATTACAGTAAAATTACAAAAGAAACCAAGACTTTGTTCTTCTGAATTCTCGTCTATTGCTCAAAGTACTAAATATCTGGTTTGTTTTCCTCCCCATAGCCTCAATCAGCAGCAAAGATAGAGTATACACTAAAACACACACGAACACACACACACACACACACACACACACAGAGAGAGAGAGAGAGAGAGAGAGAGAGAGAGAGAGAGAGAGAGAGAGAGAGAGAGAGAGAGAAGAGAGAGAGAGAGAGAGCATCCCACACTTTAGGGAATTTCTTTCTTTCTTTCTTTCTTTCTTTCTTTCTTTCTTTCTTTCTTTCTTTCTTTCTTTCTTTCTTCCCACTGTATCCTACAGATGGCCAGAATTTACTGGTATCTAGTTCTGTGCCCAGGATGAAGCATTTTCAAAGTATTTGTGAGAAGAGGAAGGGAAGACAGTGAATAACTGTTGTTGTCAGAGAGACTCCCTTCTCTCTCCACCCGGTCTTTTGGCTGCTTCCCCACTCAGGCAGAGAGAGGCTCGTCTCTGGGAGGCCAGACAATGGTTGCTTTAGAAAAGGAGGGAAGCCTCAGAACACCATGTAAATTTAGAACTGGATAGGCGGCTATTGTGCTGAGGCCATGCCCATTACTCATCCACTAGCAACAGGCTCTCTTCCTTTTGTCTGCAAAGACGGTAAACTTTCAATGGCATCAGAAAACAGAAGGCCTTTCAGAGAGCACAAGAACTCTGCCTTCGCAAACATGTGAAAATATGGTAAACAATTTCTTAGCCCTCTCTCTCTCTCTCTCTCTCTCTCTCTCTCTCTCTTTCTTTTTCTCCCTAAAAGCCTGCTAAGAAACTCAGCTGTGAATGCCAAATAATGCAAGAAGGAAAAAAAAGACATCCAAGGGGAGAAGGGGGGAGCTCTTAGGCTAAAATGTGTATTTCTGGATGTTTATTCAAAGGATGCCATTGTTTTATTACCAAAGAAAATATTGGGAGTTTCATTTCTTTAGACCCAACATACGCAACATCCCCATTTTTTAAGGAAATAATAACAAATGCATTGGGGGTGGGAAGTAGGTAATTGTAAACAGCGAAATACAATTTAATAAACATTTAGTGTTTAAATGTCAGTCCCAGGGAATGGGCCAGTGCCTCTATATTTTCTGATGGTCTTCCTACAAACAATGTCTGTTTTGTGAGAAAAAGAGGAATGCTGGATGTTTGATTGCTTTGCTTCATATGGCTCTTGATAGATTGTGCAGTGCCAAACAGTGTAGATCATCTAGTTCTCATCTCAGATGTCAGTTAATTAGATCTTATTCTGAGATTCTCCATTACCTGATTTGTTGTTGTTGTTAATTGCGAAGTTGTGTCTGACCCATCACAACCCCATGAACAATGTTCCTCCAGGCCTTTCTGTGCTCTACCATCTTCTGGAGTCCATTTAAGCTCCCGCCTACTGCTTCAGTGACTCCATCCAGCCACCTTATTCTCTGTTGTCCCCTTCTTCTATTGCCCTCAATTTTTCCCAGCATTAGGCTCTTCTCCAGTGAGTCTTTTCTTCTCATTAGGTGGCCAAAGTAGTTGAGTTTCAACTTCAGGATCTGGCCTTCTAAAGAGCAGTCAGGGTTGATCTCCTCTAGGACTGACCGGTTTGATCGCCTTGCAGTCCAGAGGACTTGCAGGAGTCTTCTCCAGCAGCATAGTTCAAAGGCCTCAATTCTTTTGCACTCAGCCTTTCTTATGGTCCAACTTTCACAGCCATACATTGCACTGGGAAAACCATGGCCTTTACTATACATACTTTTGTTGGCAGGATGATGTCTCTGCTTTTTGGTATGCTGTCTAGATTTGCCATAGCTTTCCTCCCCAGGAGCAAGTGTCTTTTAATTTCTTGGCTGCAGGCCCCATCTGTGGTGATATTGGAACCCAGGAAGATAAAATCTGTCACTACCTCCATTTCTTCCCCATCTATTTGCCAGGAATTGAGAGGGCCGGATGCCATGATCTTGGTTTTCTTAATGTATTACCTGATTTATTAAAATTATTTTCGGAAAATCCTTCATCCTAGGACTATATAAAAGAGGCATATAAATAAAATATAATAAATATATATAATAAAACAAAAATGTTATAAAAAGTTTTAGAAGCAAATATAACAAACATATATATGACACTCACCTTCCTGTGGTTCTGGAAGGCCCTTAAGACCTGACTCTGTCCCCGAGCCTAGAGTTAAGGGGTCTGTGAAGCCCCTTCACAGTTTTTATTATCAGGGTTGTTTTTAGTCCAGGTTTTATTTCATGTTTTTAAATATTTTAAGTGAATATTTCAATATTTTAGCCACCCAGGACAAAAAACAATGGATGAAAACTAATCAAGGAGAGAAGCAACCTGGAATTAGGGAGAAACTTCCTAACAGGGAGAACAATTAACCAGTGGAACAGCTTGCCTTCAGAAGTTGTGGGTGCTTCATCACAGGAAGTTTTTAAGAAGAGACTGGACAGTTGTTATCTGAAATGGCATATGGTCTGAAATTGTATAGGGTCTCCTGCTTGAGCAGGGGGTTGGACTAGAATATCTCCAAGATCCCCTCCAGCTCTATTCTGAATTGAATTCAAGTCCAAGCATTTCCTCCAAGAATCTACAAATCTACAGTCTATTTCCTTTAAATGAATGCCTTATCACTCATTTTAAACTAGTCTACTTTTTCCAACATTGTTGCAAGGATGTACAATGAATCAGTGATTTAAAGTTATGTAAGGAACATTTAATTATGTAGGTTGTTCAGCACAGCCTATGGTACAAAGGTACAAATGTAATTGATTCAAACATTCCAGAATCACTCTGGGACTAAGATATGATGCTTTGAGTTGATAGCGTATGCTGCTGAAACATTTTCTGCAGACTGTGCTACATTTCTTGCTTCTTCCTTTCCAATCTTGCATAATCCTTTTCTTTAAAGTAAAGTAAATAGCAAAAATCTGCAATAAATTACCTTTTAAATTTTTAGTAAAATCTTTACTAAACCTAAAAAAAAATCACAATCTTATGGAAGCTTAAGGGAAAAGAGAAATAATCATATGGTGTGAAGAAATGTTCATCTGTTTCCATTGGTTTTATAGTGCAGATTATGACAGGGATCCACAAGTTACTTAAACCTGGAAATTTGTAGCTAAAATAGCTCACTCCATTAGATTCTATACAGTTAGAACTGATTTAAGTATACATAGCTTGCCCAAATAATTTGGGGAGTGAAAATTCTAAAAATAATATTTCCAGATCACAAAACAAGTTCTTTCACATTTCTCCAGTGTCAGAATGAGTAACAAAATAGCCTAAACTATATGAGATATAAATACATGGCTGTGTTACTCAATGCTGTCCTTATTCTCTAGGGCACATAACATAACAGCTGGAAAAGGCCTGCAACAAAACTTGCTGTGATACATTTTGTTTACGATCAGTTTTTCTACAGAGGAGCATTTGAAACTAGAACCTCCCACCTGCAGTCTGAAATAAGGCCACACCATGTCCTTGCGCAGGAACAAGCCAAAAACATGACCCATTAACCAGAATTAGGCAGACCAAATAGAACATGGCAGGAGATGGCAGATATTCAAAAGGGCTATGTTAGGTGTTATATTTCATGGACATGAGCATGAAGTCGTTAATGCTTAAGCTTGTCTCAAAGGATCATTTTCCTTTACCAGGAACCATTGAAATTATTACTAAGCTATTCTGTGAATACACACACAATAACAGATTCTCCATTTCTGAAAATGTAGAAGATAAGAGCAATATTCAACAAGAATAGCAGCCAGGAGGGAGTAACAATGAATGTGATCCACTGGGGTGTGAAGAATTCTCCTCTAAATAAAGAGATATAAACCAGAGAAACAAAGAAGCTGAATCTCACTGAATCAGTCCATCAGTCATATTGTCTAGTATTTTTCACCCAAATGGTCAGCAGTCCACTAGCTATTCACAAGCTAAAAGGCAAAAATCATTACATGAGTCTCGAAAGCAGCAACCTTTTGAGCCGAGGTGGCACAGCAGTTAAAGTGCAGTACTGCAGGCCACTTTAGCTGACTGTGTTCAGCAGGTCAGCGGTTCAAATCTCACCGGCTCAAGGTTGACTCAGCCTTCCACCCTTCCAGGGTAGGTAAAATGAGGAGCCAGATTGTTGGGGGCAATGTAAATATATATATACATTGCTTACTGGTGTACACCGCTTAGAGCAGTGGTTCTCAACCTGTGGGTCGGGACCCCATTTGGGGTCAAACGACCATTTCACGGGGGTCGCCAAACCACGCTGTCCGCCATTTTTTTCCCTTTTCCCCAGCTGTCCTACTCCCTCTTATTGGTGGCCACACCCACTTGGGGGTCACCACAACATGGGGAACTGTATTATGGGGTCACGGCATTAGAAAGGTTAAGAACCACTGGCTTAGAGAGTGCTTGCACTTAAAGCGGTATATAAATCTCATAAATAAATAAATAAATAAATAAACCTCTATATAAGAAAATCTGGTCCATATTAGGATAGTAAGTAACTCATTCCAAACTATTTCTCTGTTTTCTCTATACATAAAAAAGCCAGTGATAGGAATTGAAGTGAAATTGGGATGTTGTAATATGAGGAGGTATTCTAATTGTTACCACAAGGTGACAAAAGAAAGCTCCCTCCAGAGTTGTCATTTTCAAATTTGGTTTTCAGTTCTTTGTCACCCTCCACTCCTTCTAATAACAAACTCAGTGGTGGGTACCAACAGAATTCTAGCTAAAATGAATCAAAAAGGGAGTTATCCACACACATAAACTAGGGAAACTTGAGATTTATAGAATAATTTCCCACCATTCACCCCCCCCCAAAAAAACCAATGGAAAAATATCTTTAAAAAGATAGCCCAATGAGGAATAAAACAGCTTAATAATCTCAAATTTTACTCTATCCTCTAGCATATCCTCTAGAAAATGAAATATGAGCTGGATGGAGCAGTTGAATGCCTTTGTTTCACTACTCAAATCAGAGTATTCCTTTAAGGAGAGAAAATACTGTGTAACTGTTCATTGTAATGTCAAATACTGTTCTGAAGCTATTAATTCCTAAAATTTTAACGGTGGCTTTTATTGTTCTGTACCTGCACTGTATAATGTTTCTCCCCTTCACTCAAAAATGAAAGCTAAATCCAAACACAACTGTCAAATAAAATCAGCAACAAAGCTGAACAAAAAGTATGTTTGGTGGGGGTGGAAAATTTGTTGCATTCATAAAAGCCTTGCCACAAAGCTAAAGGAAGAAAGGAATAGGTCTGTGGACTTCTACTTGAGACAAGTATTGCTGAGGATCCCATCTCACTCTCCACCATGACAAATATTTATGACATGATGAAGAGAGAAAAAAAAAAACAGGTTTCCTTCTTGTCATAAGACATTTCCACTAACTTGCAGGGGTGAATGCTAGCCATATGGTCAAACTCCAGCTACCATGAAGAGTTACAGGCAGAGCAAAAGCAAGACCATTTCATCACAGACTTTTAGCTGTGTTCACCACTGGTCTCTATATGTTTCTTTCAAAACAGTCAAAAACTCCTTTACTAAGTGCCCTACTTCCTACTTTTCTACTCCACAGGATGCTATAAAAGAATTTAAACAGATTTAACCAACTAGACAAACAAATAAAAGGGCAAATCCTTGTATTCTGAAACATGGGCTTTTCTTCCTTAAGGTCATATGGAATCATTTAAAAATAAATTCTTCCTGAA